TGCATCATATACTATTTCCAAAATTACTCCGTAGGTATACACAAAGCAAAATTAGACAACTAATTAGGTACATACTCACATTACAAAGGTACAATGAATCATCAAGCTAACGCCAAGAACTGACACTTAGATCTTTATTAAAAACTAATATGTTTGTTGTTAATGAATTTAGAATCCCGGCAGATTCCATCTTTTGCGGTTCCTTTTTACGAGGTACTAAGCACAAATATAATATAATAATTCGGCACAAATATGACTGATTTAATGCTTGTTAATAAAGGAGGTTATAATTGTTATATCCTGTTTGTTGACGTTCGTCGACAGCGGCAAGGAGATCGCGCGCAGCGCTCTCTATTGTTTTCGCTTTGAACTACGGGAATACGCGGTAAGGAGATGGCGCTCCTGGCGGGCAAGTGGTGAACCTTCCAGCAGGTAGATTCGCCCGCCAAATTTAAAATTTGGGAGATGCTAAGCGAAAACCGTTTAGTTTTAAGACTATTTGAACATCGAATAGTCATTCTACCCATTCAAGTAGATATTTGATGGCTTTTGACCGTGCTTAAGGAGAGATTATAATATAAAATCGTATCTGAAGTATGATGTCAATGAATCTAATGGATCCTAATGAATCGTAGAAAAGCTAAGATTTTTACGGATTGCCATCTTTGACAGGAGACTTTGTTAATCAATTACATATTTAATTGAAGATGCCTCATAAAATCAACAAGTCGAGTCCGAATATATGAATTCATCACATATCGCGAAGACATTTACAATAAAGTTCAGTGGTTTGAATAAAAATGTCATAACTATTATCCTGTGATCAAAATTCCGATCAAACTTTATGATTTTGTAAAATTGGCAGTATTTTTCTAAATATTCGAGTAAAAGTGACTATGCCGGCGCGAAGCGCCGGCTCGAGCGAGAAAGTCCCGTGCGGTCTCCGCACCAATCCGCTAAGCGGATGGGGGGGCGAAGCCCCCCAAATGCCGGCGCGTAGCGCCGGTACGCGGCGCGAAGCGCCGCGCATAAATTGGCCGGAGGCCAATTTTTTTCAGTGTAATAACTTTTTCATGGCACAAAATTGCGAGAGTATGTCCTACGCTTTTGCAGTGACGATTTATTGAATGGTAATGGGCCAGTTGCGCTGGTCACAGAATCGTGGTTTGATGCTTGATTCACGCAGATTAGCTAAAAATAATACGATCCGTCCAAACCGCAACTTTCTACGTTGAATAATAACCGAGATATCGCCCTTTGAAAAGTCGGGTTTTTGACGTAATCCACCGCGGTAGTGACACCCTTGGTTTCATCCGCCTTGCTTTCATCCGCGTTTCACGTAGAGTAACAATTGCTATTGTGTGTCTCCCTGACTGATAAAACCAAAGTGGAATAAACCAAGGGTGTCACTACCGCGGTGGACAGAGACAAGAGACCCTCCACTGGCCTCCTAGCGACAGGTGGAAGCTTTTACTTTCGGGGTTTCAACAATTCCTTATGGACAATTATGAGCGAGCAACAGTCATCACCCTATTTTCGGCTGTTGACTTACCTACATGGTCGATGATGAGCTTCGGATGACGTCATAAGCCAAACAACTTTCCCAAACGTCGGCCATTTTCGGCTTGTTTGCAAAACGAAACTGCCAACACGTTGTTGAACATCAACCATGTAGGTAAGTCAACAGTAGAATGCTGAAGTCCCGAAAGTAAAAGCTTCCACCATGGCCAAGATACTAGTGGAGGGTCTCTTGTCTCTGGCGGTGGATGATGTCAAAAACCCGGCTTTTCAAAGGGCGATATCTCGGTTAATATTGAACGTAGAAAGTTGCGGTTTGGACAGATTTTAATATTTTTAGCCAATCTACTAGAATCAAGCATTAAAACAAAATTCTGTGACCAGCACAACTGACCCATTCATGTGCGAGGAAGTGCATTTAAAGTTACATGTTTTCCTAGCGCCGCGAAGTTCCATCGCGAAAAGGTCAAAAACCGAAACGACCGAACGCGTGGTCAAGGCTCAAAGGCCGCGCGCAAACCCGCCGACCCGACGCGACGCGACGCAGACCCGCAAATCCCACGCGGGAGCGACGAGTCAAACGCGATTCAACCCGAGCACCATACGCACACCCCATTCATCGCGTCGCAGCTCCAAACAGCGGAAAAAACCGCATCAAAAAGTACCGGGCGGGGATTAATACGGGGATCGGATGGGGCGGGGGGGGGGGGGGGGGGGGGGGGGGTACACTCTCAGGAAACCGCTCATGGCGGATGAATGAAATATTTAATGGTAACATGCATGCGCTTACTCTCAAGTGCGCTCCCCCACAGTTGTCAGCTCGTGCCATGAAATGCGGATACTTTACGTGGGTCGAAGAGGGATGAATGGTGATTTTTCAGGACGATCGGGCTACTATGGCTCCTCTTTTCACGTGTAATGCATATCCATCTTCCTCCGCCGGGGACGCACAAAGAACTACTTAAAAGCTCCTTTTTTTTCGCGGCTCGCTGCCCCGCAGCCCGCGCCGGCCCTGAAGATGATTCAGACGTAATTTCCGGTGCATGGAGTGTCGAGTGAGCTTAACTTATCGCCAGGCACAAGTGCGAAACTTTCTCCCTTTTTTCACCTCCTAAACAAGTAAGTGCTCCTCCTGAAAAAATTGGACTCAATGGCTTTGTCCCACACAAGAGGTATACAGAGTAAGTGCATTTTTAGTACTCCAAATCGCCATGTCTAAAATCCACTCCTTTACGCATAGGGGCCGTCCCTAAATTACGTGAAGCAATTTTTCGGCAGTTTTGACACCCCTTCCCCCCCCCCTTGTAAAGCTTTTGGGACGATGGTCTTATCCTCTAATACGTAAAACAAAATGACGTACCTCTTTCCTCGACGCCCTTCCACCCTAGAGCGTTACATAATTTAGGGACAGCCCCTAGCGGAGAAATTGGCCGCACATCTATACTATAAGCTCCGAGACCTCCTAATTTTGCGAAACTGGTAACGCTTAGTTCCAGCGTTCTACCGGGCCGATTTTCATGATTTTTGCGGCTATCGACGGGCAATTGTCTCTAGATAAGCCAACTCTTTTTACATTTTCAAAATATGGCCCAGGTTTTTTTATATTACGTGGTAAAGTTGCGAATTCTCCCATTTAAACAATGTAAATTTATACTTTTTGTCATAGTTCGTTTGAGCGTTCTACCGGGCCGATTTCCATGATTTTTGCGTAAATCGAGAGGTAATAGGCCCTAGATGAGCCCGCTGTAATCAGATTTTGGAAAAAGGACCCAGGTTTTTTTAAAATCACGTTATAAAAGTGAGTGAGTTTACAGAATGTTCCGGTACTGCTACCGCTATGCGCGGGAGGATGCGCAGTGGTCGAGGAGGTTGCGCAGTAGCTGTGTAGCCTGCGCATCAGCTCTACACTTATCTACACTAGATTCGCAACGGAGACCCAACGTCGAGCGGAGGCCGAGTCGTCTAAGACGTCGATGGTGTCCACTTTAAACTCGGTGTGGGTTCGATCCCTGACTAAAGCATATTTTTAATTATTACCTGACTATCATTGTTCATTGTTTTACTGCAATATTTCATCAAGCAGTCATTCCAAAACGCGTCCTTTTAATTTTAAAGTAATTTTAAGTGAAGTTTAAAATTAAAGTATATCTCATATCGTAATTTTTTAAAGGGAAAATAAAACTAAAACTAATAGGAGGGTAAAAATAGGGCCGCGAAGCGGCCCATTGATGGTGCGGAGCGCCTTCGGGAGGTTGGGCCGCGTAGCGGCCAGGGGGCGTAGCCCCCTAGTTTTTTATATCGCTTTAGTTCTTCGAGAGTTGATTTCGCGGTATTTTTGATAGTTTGTTTTCCTTTTTGGAAAATGATATCAAAATTTATTGAAAAGTGAGAAAATTCACCGCTTTTTGACGTCATCTGGCGATATTTTCCCCTTAAATACATGTATTTTCGTAGAGTAGATCACTTTGTTGCGTCTCCTCCACTAATTGCTCACTTTGTATATTCGTACTCAATTTACTCAGTGGTTTCCTCGTTAAATAAACCCGAAATTCATCAAATTTTATACATCTGCAAATTCTCTTAGTCTATACCGTGCTTTTTCAAATTTACCGCGTCTGAGGGCTTATTCGTCGGTAATCAAGTCTGTCCACAGAAAGACGATTTCAAATGGTTAAAAACATTGGTTTGGTTTTTGCATCTTAAAGAAATGAGGTTTAAACGATTCTTCCAGTAATGACACAAATCTGATTTTGAAAAGTGAATGGAAATAGATTCCCTCCCTTTGCCACTCTTCTACGTCTCTGGTATAGAAAACGCACACGAATTCGGTCGGTTACTCTACAAAAAGGGAACATTTCACTAGAATTGTAAAGATTTTGAGATACTTGACTCCGTATAATGGCCACATTTGATGGAGAAGAGGTTTGATGAAGCGTGACCCCGCTTCGCGTCGCATTGCCTGCCAAGCCCATGAAAAACGCCTTCAATTGTGGTTGATACTGTGCAACACACGCGAGTTGATATATTTGTATCGCCGCGCCGTATCGGATCCCAACCTAGTTCTAACGTCCGATCCTCGCGCCGCAGGTTTTCAATTTTACATGCGATACTACTTTGTTTACGAATTGTTTATGGGCAAGAAAAAAAGATACTAGACTCCGTAAAATAACCACATTAACCGGTGATTTGATAAAGCGTGGCCCTGCATCGCGTCGCATTGCCGGTCAACTGTCAAGCCTATGAAAAACGCCTTCAATTGTGGTTGATACTGTGCAATACACGAGAGTTGAAATATTTGTATCACTGCGCCGTATCGGAACCCGACCTCGCACTGACGTCCGATCCTCGCGCCGCAGGTTTTCAATTTGACCTGCGATACTACTTCGTTTACAAATTGTTTATGGGTCAAATTTAAAGTCTGAAATTAATGTAGGAAAATTTTTCGCAGGACTATAATGTGATTTTGTATTTTTTGTTTACAGTGACGAAGTTCATCCGAATCGGGATTGCGGACAAGAATGACAACCCGCCGTATTTCGACAAAGAACTCTACGAGGCGGAGGTCGACGAGAACGAGGACATACAACACACTGTACTCACCGTCACCGCAAAAGATCACGATGAATGTAAGTGCCGCCTTTTCGTCCTTTTTCTTCCTTTTTTTTAGAAAATCTATTCAGTGGAGAGACTTCCTCTCCTCTTGAAGGTTTGCTGAACAGAGCACAGCCAGAGTTGCAGAACGAAATTTCACGGAAAGAGATTTCATGATTCCGGTTTTTTAGGAGCTGCGTATGCAACTCGCAACAACTGTCCGAACTAGGTCAGAACTTGATCGATAATCCAACGTGTTATGCATTAATGCTGACGATTAAATAAGTTTTGTAGAGCTGTAATTGTTGTTATTGTGAATGTACCTGTATCGTGGTACATTCACAATAACATTATATTCCAACGTCAGAACGAAACCATGACCGTTCATTATCTTTGAAAGTTTCTCGCAATAAAATCTTCTCCAATTCACCATTTCTCGAACAGAACGATCCGTGCAATAGTTATCGACGCAACAATTAATTTTCTCGAACAGACAGTTATCGAATTTCTTTTTTGCGGAGTTCTATCGAAAGTGCGGGTTGAATTTCATCCGTACCTTCTGTAATTTATCTCTAATAATTTTCTGCCGTGTATGAGCTATAAAGTGCAGATTTATTATAATCAGATTCACCACAAAAATTTAGACGATTCCAAAAAAATCATGAAAATTCTAAACTCAGGGCAACGAATTGAAGTCGTGGCGAGATGTGAATGATCGATTACGGATATTTCCCCATTTGAAGCTGCGGTTAAGAATCGATTATTAAGGTGTCCGCTGCAAACACCCTGTTTATCGATCCTTTTTCATAGGTTTAATCGGTAGATCAATCGATGCATCGCAAAGCACGCCGCGCCACCGCCGTGAATAATAATTTAAGTAGCGCTCTTGAGGGGAAAAGTTCGTCGTCAACTTTTTTAAGGAGTTCCGTTTCTCATCGAACTTCCAACGTTTTGATTAAATTTAGTGCTCGATTCATGTGAAATGTTCTTACTTTTGAAGTCGGTTTATCATCGGATCTATCTCTGAGGCGACGAAGGGATCCCAGGCCATCAAACTGTGCGGAAATCACGCAGGTTCCCGATGAACTCTCTGCATAACTCATTTTTTATTTTATATCGGACAACATCGACCGGGACGTAAATACTAGCTATCGTCTTCGACTCGAGAAATTGCGTTCCTCTGTCGTTCAAAATTTATCTGATCGCGAGACCTACCATCCCGCTACCGTGGCTGACTAGATTTCCTTTCCAGTTGGAGCGAAGCAGACACTGCTTGTCTGGGTTTATACAGAAAATAAGTAAGGTAAATGAAGCATAGGAGGCTTGCTTAAAAATGTGAGAAATCGAGGTGAATCTTCAGTGACTAAAAGAACGAAATGTTGCCGCGCAGGGTGCACCACCGGTGCGTTTTAATTTGTTTAATGATGCCACTAGAGTCCGTTCAGCTTGTTTTTAGTTTATGAGTCAGAATATCCTAGAAAGTTTCATGAGAAGTTTTTTAGTGAAAATCGTAGCTGAGAAAGTTTTTTTGTGAAAAGGAAACGTTTTCGTTCCTTTTTTGTAATCACCAACATCAAGAGTACATCAGTTTTTTTAGCATTTTACTTAAAATTGCTTTAAATCAGAGGATCACGATAAATTGAAAAAATATTGTATATGGCACCGTCAATAAATCATGCATTCTTACGCACTATCAATAAATACCACGATTTAACTCCTATGGGTATTCCTCCCTGAAGGTGAGAAGCACTGACCTTTTGTGAAAAAACATGATGTTCGAGAATCGTGACCTCTTCTTTTGAACTTCTTCCGGGTTTTCAGTCATTTCATCTGATACCTCGGGAATTTGTACTTTGAGTCTTAAGATTTATGTTGGGATTTTCATTTCTCCAGATATTTGTTTTGGTGTATCGTGGGGAAGATTTGTAAGACGAAGCCTCAAGTTTGTCTTCAAAATCTGTTTCATCTTTCGCTGTAGTCTGGATATGAAGAACATCCTTGTCAGCTTCCTAGAAGCGTTTCGTACACGAGTGCATTTACTATCAGTGGATTAACTCTGATCAAAGTTGCCTTTTTCATAAAGTATTTTTTGTAACTTGAGATCAATCTCAGGTGATTTAACAAGAATGTCTCAGAGTAATTGCACGCTCCTCTCTTTGAAGAGCTGCGTACTTCCCGTATTGGAACTTGATCTTACTTATACTTAACTTTGTCGTATAAAAGGATTGAAGTATTTTATCCGAAAGCTGAAACAAGATCATAATGTTGCAGCGCATTCATTGTAACCTTTTATGTCAACTTGCTTCCCTTTGCTATTTTCAGCAGTGGCGTGGCGTGCTTTGCGATTTATCGATTGATGTGCCATTAAACCTGTGGAAAAAGATCGATAAACAAGGTATTCGCGACAAACATCTTGACAATCGATTCTTCTTCATAGTTTCAAATGGGGAGATATCGCCAGTCGACCATTCACGCTTCGCCACTGATTTCATTGCCGAATCTTCCGGGTTGGGATACGGGTTAAGAAAGACAATCTGCCGAGTTAAGAAAAAACATCGTATGAACATTAGAATGTTGCCAAATTTCCATAGAAAACCTTATTTAAGAAGAAAGTTATGGATATTTTTCCTTGAAATTTTCAGATGTTTTGTATTGGATTGCGACCAAATTTTCAGGAAAATCGGAAATAAAAGTCCTATAACTTGCCCAATAAATTCTTAATTCTTCCAAAGAAATTTGGCAACGCCTGAAGGTTTATACGGCGGGTTTGCGGGTCAGGATCGGGGTCAAGCCCAAGGAAAGCCTATCCGCCTTTAGGCGGAGGAGCTTTCAGCGCCTGAGGTGTGAACAATAGAATGTTGCCAAATTTCCCTGATAAAAAATTATTTTGGAAGGGAGTCACGTATATTCTTCATTGAAATTTTCAGACGTTTTAAACCAAATTACGAACAAAATTATCCGAAGAACTGAACAAAAAAAGACCTGGAACTTTCCCAATAAATTCGTAATTCTTGGTAAGAATTTTGCACTGAAAAAGAAGAATCTTAAATTTGCCACCAAGAAATATTTTTCCTCGACTCAAGAATCTTGTCGCTTAATTCAGGCTATATTTTTGCTTAACCCAAGCATTTTTTCTCTTGGGTCTAGGGAAATTCTGTTCGGATCTAGATAAAAAATATTCTTGGCGGCAAATTCAAGAATAATCGGGCTTGAGCCAAGCAACTTTTTTTAGCGTTGCAACGCCTGAAGGCTCTTACGATGTTTTTCCTAAGGATGGCAGTAATGGAGACGAGTGAGATAGAGTCAGAGAGGTGGAATGCTTGGGACGACGCGGAGAATGCAGCGAATTAATCGGGGACGCGATTGGAGGAGGCGCGGTGGCGCGGTATTCGGCCTCGTTCAAAGTTAATCAAGTTAAATCGAAGAAGCCCAAGTCGGGGATCCGAGAAAACGCCCCGCGCTTCCTTCGTATTAGTCTCGCTTAATGATGCGAAAACTCTCCATGTTTCTGTTTTGTCCTTCGTCGGCTCGTTGTCAGATGTAACCAAAGACATAAAGACGGAGTGCTCGTATCTAAAAGCACGGGGAAAAAGTGAAGCCTGGTTTGGCGCTGGGTGCTTGTGTGAGTGTGTAAATGAGCGCGGGAATCCATGGCGGCAAACGGAAATTTGATTTGAACTTGTCCTCTTGATTTTTCCACATTTCTTCTTCGAAACGTATTTTAAATGCCTAAAACGAATATATTAAGAAAGTTGGGACTGCGTCCTAGTATAATACACCTACTTTTGCTCGGTAACAGGCAGTAATCTCAGATAAAGTTAGTTTTTCTTCTGCTCATGGTGGTTCTGCCGGTTCAAACAGGCCGTCACAGTCGTAGATGACAGTTACTCCCAAATGAAATTAATCGGTCGACGACGGACCAAAACTAACCTAAAGTTATACAAATATGAGTGTGTAAGTGAATTTGGGCAAAAATCAACCTAAAATACTTTGTTTCCGCAATTTTATTTAGTTCCCGCCTTACATTTGAATTTCAAACTTGTCCCGATTTCGCCGCCAATCCTATAGCCAATAGTAGAGGTGATTGAAAAGAAGATTCATTTTTTGCTTTTAGCGCTCCGTCTTTATGTCTTTGGATGTAACTGTCGTAAGCTTACACTGCCGTGCAACGCAAAAACGTCGCAAACGCCATTTTAAATTTTTTGGACACAATGTATCATAGCAGAAAAACTTAGGTACCTTGGGAGGATGTTTTTACAGAATTCTATCCAGAGTCCTATCGAGAACTTAACCTGAAAATTTGGCATACATAGATAAATAAGCTTTTATTTCAGAAAGTGTTCAGTTTCAAAAAACCGCGGAAAAATCTTGATGGATTTACGGCGTCTTTGCTCAGCGCGGCAGAATAATCCACAGCTAAATATTTCCGTGTCTACGGTTTATTATGAGTCGCTTCCTCTCCTGATTGATGAAGACTTAAAATTTTCCTCCAAGACTTAAAATTTAATTTTAGGTTTTAAATTTAAAGTTAGAAAAAAACCCACTAAAGAATGCAGCCTGAACTGTGTTTCTACACTATTCTGTGGGGGAAATAGGGTCAAAAAGCTCACAAATTTCAATTAGAAGCAAAAATTATGAGCTCTATTGAGTATCTGCTTAGTTCGTGTCTCTATAACTCGGTTCAGTTTGACCGTATTCTTCACCATGAATCCAATGGCTGAGCAACGCCAATACACCTTCGAGTTTTTGATAGCCGGACGTATTTCTGCCCAACGGAACTATGTGCATTAAGCCATGAGTCCTGAGACCCATAAGAATACGTGCATAACAGGGCTCACGTCATAATGCCCATAGTTCCGTTTGGCAGGCAACTGTTCAAGTCGGAGCAGAGACAAGCCTCTTTGCTTTGAAACGGTCGGTAGCTAAAATTGCAGCATGTTAAACTGTAGATTTTACCGTCAACATGGCGCTAGCGAGCCTTAAGCACTTGCAACACACTCCAAGTTCTAATCCTTCGTGTGCATTCAAAATTCAC